AAAGAAAGAAGACCACAATAAAATATGGGGAGACAAGATAAAAGAATTGCTCAAGACAGAAAACTTAAACAAAATGCAGGTAAGAGAACGCAAAGAACAAGGGAACCTGGTATTACTTCAAAAATCCCGGCAACAACAAGACCTAGTTATGCGGAAGCTACAAGGCATACAGACGAAGGGAATTCCTTAGTTAGGGACAATTCAAATCACTAGGTACTTGAAAAACCAACATGGAACTCAACAAAGAAATGAGTCTCAAAACGGGTATTCACGAAAAATAAATGATTCGTATAATAATCCGTTATCAAGAAACAAAATAATCAAAGAACAAAGAAATCTGCATCCGCAAAATAATGTACACAGTTTTAAAGGAACAACATACATCGGTAGAAAGGCATCCGATTATTTTTTAGGCGGAGGCAAACCAAGCGGAGGCGAACGCTACAAGCACACAAACCATTTCAACAGGCGGTAAAAATAGACCCCAAAATTATAAACCTTTCCAGCAGAACTTTGAATCAAGCAGAGATTAAGCTCTTCTCCAAAGGACTGAAATTTACACCAACGCCTTGTTAATCTAATAACCAGGAATTGTCAACAGATGTTAAGAACAATACACGGAGACTTAAATTGGCAGAATATTTTTACCGTTAGGATACAGAGGAAAATGAATCTGACGAAAATTCGGATCTCGTTTGAAATAAATCTACTTTTAACCCTAAAAAGGGAAGAAACACAGTTTTAGATACCTTTTCTCATACCTTAGAAAATAGTCCTCTTGGTGACAACAATAAGTAAAGAAATAAGAAAAGGAATTTAACTAAAGATGAAGAAAACGCTATAAAATCGTTCTCAAATGACCCATCTATTGTTATCAAAGAAGCAGACAAGGGAGGAGCTGTTGTGATAATGGATGCTGATTATTAGAAAATAAAGTCATGGAAATGCATTCCAACAGAGAATTTTATAATGAGATTCCGGAGAAACAAGGTAAGAAGATAATCCAGAAAGTGAAACATCTACTAAAAAAACACAAATCTACTTCTTCCCTGACAACCAAAGAAACGGAATTTTTAACAGATTTTGATTTCATAGAAAGTGTTTTCTATGGCCTTCCTAAAGTACACAAGTCAAAAACTATAAGAGAATCAATAAACCTTCAGAATTCCGAATACATCACATGTCTGAAACCGGAGGATCTTGGATTCAAACCAATAGTGGGAGGACATAAATCACCAACACAACACCTAAGCCACCTCATCGATATCCTCTTAAAACCTTTATGCACAGAAGTGAAAAGTCACATTAAAGATGACATAGATTTTTTGAAACACCTACCGCAAAAAATTCTCCCTAGTGAGAAATTAATTACAATGGATATAACTAATTTATATACCAACATCACTAGTACACTAGGTCTCAAGGCTTGGGAATATTGGATTGACAAACATCCGGAAAAAAATAAATTACCGATTCACAAAAGATTTCATCTTGGAAGCCACAGAAATAGTATTAAAAAAACCCCACATTTTCATTTTGTAATAAACACTACGAGCAAATCAAAGGGACAGCAATGGGCACAAAAGTGGCCCCAACTTACTCTACTCTTACATTAGGATATTTAGAAGAAATATTATATGAGAAAATCAGTGATCAGTTTGATTCAGCTACCGCTGATAACATTAAACAAAAATGGAAAAGATATCTTGATGACTGTTTCATCATTTGGAATGAAAGCAACATGAATATAGACATCTTCTACAACATTCTAAATGAGCTTGATCCTGACATTAATTTTACTGTGGAGGAGAATCTTGAGAGTATACAATTTTTGGACGTCCTCACAACTCGAGATGGAGAGAAACGGTCAACTGATATATACTACAAAACGACCGACACCCATCAGTACCTCCATTTTAGTTCATGTCACCCCAGACACACCAACGTTCAATACCATACAATTTATCAAGAAGAATTTGTACCCTAGTAAATGATGAGTCACGAAGAAAGGAACGCCTAGGAGAATTGAAGGAGTATCTTCTGGATCAGCAATATCCTTTAAAAGTTATAGAAAATGGAATTAAAAAAGCAGAACAACAAGACCGTACCCAGTTAATTATTCCATCCTCTACGAACACTGCAGAGGTGAAAATACTTCCTTTCGTTACGACCCACAATCCAAAAAATTGAAACATGACTCCATTCGTTCAAAATCTCAATGGAGTTCTTAAAACCGACGAGAGAATGTCAAAAGTTCTTCAAAATTTCCAATTCATCAATAGTAAGAGGCAACCAAAAAACCTCCGCCGCTTATTATGCAAGTCGCATTTTCAACAAAATAACTCGCATTCAGTCAGCAAATGCCCCGACTGTCGCTGTGGAACATGTCCATACATAAAAGAAGGGAACACCTTTAAAATTGGGACCAAAAGTCTTAAAGTTAATGCAAATATGTCTTGTGGTTCTAAAAACGTCATATATTGTATAAAGTGTGATGGATGTGGGCAATTTTACATCGGCGAGACTGGAACTACTCTCCGTACCCGTATTCGAATCCACAGACAGCATATTCAACATCCGGAATATAGACAGGTCAAAGTTAATGAACACCTGGACCTTTGCGGTAATGGACATTTCACCGTTGTTCCCTTTTACAAACTGTTTACTGACAGCACGGTGGAAAGAAGAGAAAACGAAAAACATTTTATTAAATCTTTAAAACCAGTTTACTTTGAACAGTTTAATATAATTTATTTTATATTTGTATAATTTTTATATGCTCTTAACTCGAAAATCATTTCATTTTAAATATGGCTCTCGATGGGACAAGTTATCAATTTTGTTGTTGTTTAAAATAAGTGTAAATCTGATATATCTTCCCTAACTTGAAAATAAAATAAAATGTCCGCGGGAACAACAGTAATCTAGATGCTAAAGGGTAGTGAAAAATATATAAATATTTTTTTTTTAAATATAAACATGATTAAGACAGAAAATGTGAAATGTAATTATTTACTCATATTCAACAATTTGAAAGATATTTAACTTGATACACTGTAGATATATTTCATGTTAAACAATATTCCACAAAAAAAATTTCAAACAAAATTTTGGAAGGACTTCTGTTTTGCATATGGTAATAAAATAATAATTATTTTAATTGACACAGTACCCCTTTTTTCAATCCCATCATTGAACATTTTTTATTATTTACTTAAAAAACAGGCTGATTAAATGATTAACTTAGGGTCATTTCCAGGATTCCCGGTTGTGATTATTTCAGGATGGGCGGGGATGGGTTGGGTTGGAGTTAAAAAGCTTAATAACATTTTTTGAAAGCTTTCTTAAAGCTGAACACTATTCGTAAAAAGAATTTGTCCGCCATATTCGATTATTCACTCGTTGTATCTGAGGGCCCCTATATAAGACGCTCACTTGGTCACTGTTCTGTATTATCAGTTGTCACCGGCCGCGAAAAAAAAATAACCACTTCTTCTACGCCAGGAGAGTAAAATACCAAAGAAACTTTCAACAGTTGTACAGGTCAGTGCAGTACACAAATAAACACAAATACACGTAATTGCAATAAATGAATAAACAAAGGCGATGCAAGATAACCAGCACGAACACATGTCGCCATTCCACGCCGATACCCGTGACAATAAAGCAGTCATGTGTAACGAATGCGAAGGGTATATCCCGCAGCTGATATTGTAGATAGTATAATCGAATATGGCGTATGCCTATTTACAAATCGTGTTCAGATTTAAGGTGCACAAGTTTAACCCCCCCCCCCCCTCAACACAATGATATACACCAATTAGCTGGTTTAAAATAATAATGGAAAATTATTCTTCAATCTATTTTTGCACCTTTATTTCTCTTCATATAATCAAATGTATAAAAAATGTCATTTTCATAAACAATCAGCAATCATTGGATCATTGACCGGGCTCCACATGCTCGGAAGTGGGAACTTGACTGCTAAATTCAATGAGTGAAATGGCAGCGAAGAATAACAATTGAATTTCATTTTGCGAAACCGAAAATGATTTAGAAGTAGACAAGTAATAGATTCCGGGCATTTTCGTTATCATTTAAAAGGAATTAATCTGAATTTCGTTAAAATGTGAAATCGATTTGTCGATATACTTATTTACTTAAATCAAATAAATAAATCAGAAATAATAATATATATCTTGTTTTAATGAGTCATATAGTTTAATTTATAGTAAAAGTTTAATTATATTATTAGAAATCAGACTTAGAATGTCCAGTTAAGTATATCTGTTACATGTACGTAATATTTCCTAACTGACCGTGTTTTGAAATGACGGATTTTTGCAAAATGGTAGATGGAGGTATATTGTTATTAATATGGTGTCAAAAAGAATTTAAGAATTAAGCAAGATACATCCCGTCCCTGAATCATACATCCACTATCACGTTTTTATAGAAGCAATATTAAAAGATGGACTCTCTCATTATTGATGGTATTTAAAAATTCAGTTTTAAACTTTGACGAAGAAGTTATAAGCAACGATAGTATGGATAAAAAATGTACAAAATAAAACAAAACAATTTGAAAAAAGGGGTAACTGTAAAATGAGAGATAGAAACGGTTTTACTGATTTTTTTTTACTCTTACCGGATTATACATTATAAATTTACAAGTTCTAACAATATACTAGTTTGTTTGGAAATTCAAATTCAATATATTATATTTTCAAATAAATGTCCCTTGTCAAATATTTACTTCACTATAGAAAATCCTTAAAGTTTTGATTGCTTAAAACTGAGAACTAACTTCCTTTTTTCACCGCTGTTCTGCCAATAATAATAATAATAATAATAATAATAGATAAATAAATAAATAAATGAAAAAAATAAATAAAGAAATAAATAGTTTGCAAAATATCAATAAATGATTTTAGTGAGCTTGTTAGACATTTATCACCGATAACATCCATAAAATATTGAATTTTCATTTCAGAGTGTTATTTAAAGTGCAAGAAACCAGAGAATGGCTTCTGGACCAGACCCTGGCGACCGATCTAGGTTTGCCAAACTTGGAATGGCAATAAACGAAGATTTGACGCAGGCCTGTAGAGATGTCTTAGAAATGGAGGTGCCTCCTGGACTTGTCTACAACAAAGTAAAGTCACATTCAGTTTATAAAAAAATACGCCCTGAGCAAGAACTTCGTCTTATAGGCGCCAAAACAGATGGTTATAAAGAATTTGATATTACATTGTTATATACATTGATAAGAAACATATGTACAAAGATTCCACGTCCAACGAAAGGTTGGGGTAGAAACATGATGCCGTCAGTGGGAGAAGTAACGATCGGCGATGACATTGAGAGGATCAGATTGATACGAAACAACATGTTTGGACACATAAGCTCGGCTTCTACCTCAAAAGCAGATTTTGATGACACGTGGTCAGTCATAACTGATATCTGTCAAAGATTGCAAACGTGCACAAAGAAAGACTATATGTCTAGCCTTAGTAACATTCAAAGTCAGGCCCTAGAAGAGGAGAACGAGATAACAGTCATAGAAAAACTGAGAGAAGATTATAAGAATAACCAATGTCTAATGGAAAAGATATCTTCTTTGGAACAGGATTTGCTAGAATTGAAATCAAAATCCGAAATTAAAGGTGACTATTATGAATACTGTTATTAAAAATATTCACTATGTACGATATATGGCAGAAATAAGTGTTACAAGTTAACATAAATTTTATAAATGCATTTCTCAATATTAGGATTTCCGAATATGTTTCTTTCCAAATTAAACAAAGGTTGGCTAAGCAAGAATATCCCCATTATGATATCCATGATACCGCACTTGACGTCAGAACTATATTGCAAGCTGTGCAAACTATAGTGCAAAAATGATGGTTAAATGGCATAAATGTCTGGCCTGTCATCAGGGAAAGAGTGTACATATACAATATGAATTTAATTTTTAAAAAGTCTCGAGGTACACGAACTACAACGCCTCAGGTCTGTATATGTATCATGGAGTTGTTACATGGCCAGTGTTGTAAAGTTAGACACCCCCTCCCCCTTCTTTTTTCAGACTTCTCTTAGGAAGCCATGCTGTAGCTGTAGAGGAAGACTTTCCCAAGAAATTTTCATTTCCCTCCAGTAAGACCTAGTCTTCCACTAGATCTTCCCTCATCGTAGGTCTTTCTCTTCAGTTAATCTCGCTTTTACAAGTACAACAATCACCCAATGGGGATTTTATAGTAACCAAACCTTCACAGCGATTTATTGACCTGCTTTCACTAAAAGTGTTGCATATTAATTCATTACTGACCGTCCGTTTGTCCGTCTGTCATGTTGTATATTTTGAATTTACTACAGTGAGAAAAGTGCAAAATTTATCATGTTGGCAATTTAACTATTACCTTTCCCAAAGTAAATTCAAAATCTACAACATGATAGTCCTTACGTCAGATTAGCTGCATTTCTGTCTATATGAAATACTTCCATTTCCGGGAGATATCTAACAAAAACCGTTTGAGCTCTTGCAATGAAATTTTATATTATTTTGTATGGGTTAGATAATTACCATATCCTCCTTTTTTTCTATATTATGACATATTTTTTCCATTTATATTTCTTGTTTGTGCTTCAGCATATACATAAATTAATTAACAGTCAGTATATGCATTCGTTTATACTTCCCCATACTTTATATAGCATACTTTTTTGCAGTAAATATATATTGCATTTACAATTGATATTGCAACAATATGTTTCAAAACTAAATTGAAAAGAAGTAAATAGAACAATTTTAGTTTAATATAAGTAATAATCTTAATCACAAAAGGGTCCAGTCTTGTATTCCACCATATTTCAAGTTAAAGACTACACCTTGTATTTCCTACAAATATACATCGACTATTGCTTCCAAACTTTTTAATTACAAGAAAACTTTACAGGGCCTGGATATCGAATATCTGAAACATAATCCTCCATTGTGTTCATGTTCTTCTTCACCCTATAACTATAGTCCTGCTGGACACGTTATTACTGGTGACGTAAATATAGTTAATAATGAGGACCTTAGATCACTAATTTTAAAAGGTCCTAAATATAGGGAACGCCGATCCTTCAACTGGCGTCGGAATTTCATAAATATTATGGATTCTGTAGAGGATTACGGCAGGCGATGGGCCAGACATGAAAAAGAAGACCTTGACAATTTGTCAGAATGGATTAAATATATCAGATGTATGTTAAAATCGTGCATTAAAAGATTGAGGGGCAATATGAAAACCATCTATCCTTCTGTATTCAATAATCCAGAAGTGAAAAAAGAATTAGATAGATTACATGATCAGTACGTACTGGTCCCTGCTGACAAAGCAGGTAACAACATCGTCTTTGTTTGTAAGGCTCATTATATTAAATGTATTTTAGAGGAACTTGAATTTAATTCTACAAGTGGTAATCCAACTTATACTCATAGTTCCCTTTCTAAGGAAGAAATTCTTCAAAATCATATGTCAGTTTTGAATATTTTCAATATTCCAAACAACCAAAATGAATTTGAGTTACCATATCTATATTGGATTCCGAAACTTCATAAAACTCCTTTCAAACAAAGATACATAGCGGGTTCCAGTAAAAGTTCAACCAAGCCTCTTTCTTTACTCCTCACTAAGTTATTAACAGTAGTGAAAGAGAAACGTCAAGAGTACTGTGCAACAATATATTCGAGAAGTGGTGTAAATCAGATGTGGATACTTAAAAATTCCGAGGAACTTTTGGAAAATTTAAAATCACAGGATTTTACTAAAATCAACAGCTTAAAAACTTACGACTTTTGAACTTTATACACAACCATTCACCACGATAAATTAAAGTCCAGGCTTTTTGGTATCATTGACAGCTGCTTTTTCAATAAAAATGGAACTCATGAATTTACTTACCTTGTCATTGGTTATTTACAAAATTATTTTGTTAAAAAACATTCTGATTGTACACACAAGTACTCTGATGTTGACATTAAAAAGATGCTTGAATTTCTGATTGACAATATCTATGTGGTTTTTGGAGACCAGGTCTTCCAACAATCTATTGGAATTCCCATGGGTACCAATTGCGCCCCGTTATTAGCAGACCTTTTTTTCTGTATTCATATGAAACAGAACTTGTCCCAAATCTTATACGTGAAAAGAAGAAAACACTTGCTGTGGCCTTCAACTCGACATTTAGAGATATCGAAGACGATTGTCAATTAAAAATGGTTATTTCCATTCCTATGTCGATACGATATATCCCGGTGAGCTTGAGGTAAAAGATACCACAGAGTCTGACAAATCTGTTTCATATTTGGATATTTTACTTGAAAAAGACGTTAATGGTAATCTAACAACCAAGCTTTATGATAAACGTGATGACTTTAACTTTTCAATCGTCAACTTCCCTTACTTATGCAGCAATATACCTTCATCACCTGCATATGGGGTTTATATCTCTCAATTGATTCGATACACAAGAGCATGCTCTACGTATGTACAATTTCTAAAACGAGGTAAATTATTGACAAACAAGTTGATGAAACAAGAATATCAGCAGTCTCGTTTAAAGTTATCATTTCGTAAGTTCTATGGTCGATACAATTACCTTGTCAGCAAATTCAATCTATCATTGAATCAACTGCTGACTGACGTTCTTCATCCTAATTGTTAGGCCATTAATTACACACTGAATTGTCGACGGATCTTTCCGTTATTTCCCGATCATGACAAGGAGCACACGGCGGGTGTGACCCGTCGGCAGGGGATGCTCACTCCTCCATGGCACCTGATCCCTCCTCTAATGTTTTGACGGTCCGTGCTTGCACTGCTCCTATTTTGTATTGTATAATGGACTTTTGAGCTTGAATACTGTTCGTTATCTCCATATATTTCATTTAGTTGAAAATTGTAAAGTTTTACAAAAATAATTGAATTTCAGTGTTACAATTTTACATTTTCAGTTTTTTTTTTTTTTTTTTTGTTTTTTTGTTTTTTTGTTTTTTTTTACACTTTTTATTATTTTCAAAGGACATATCTTTTTATAGAAAACACACTGGTAAAAGAAATTCTCGAGAATTGGCGAGAAGACGACATTGCCTTTATTCCTACAAGAGCAAGTGAAGTGGTTGAAGAAAAGCTTAAACGTCTTAACCTAATCACGGTGGTTGGAAATTCTGGTTCCGGAAAATCTGCAATTATTCAACACATTGCACTCAAGTATAAAGAACGGGGATGGAATGTCAATCCAGTAGATAAGGTGGAAGAAATTAAAAAGAGTTGTGTATCAGGAGTCTCAGAAAATCGGATATTATTTGTACTCAATGATCCTTTAGGTAAGGAATCGATGGATGAAATTTCATATCATTCATGGATAATTTTTCAGAAAACGCTGGAGATTTGCTTGAAGAAAAATAAGTTTTTGATATCATGTAGAAGATGCGTCTTTTATGACAAGAGAGTCAAGGGTATCTTATTGGATGAATCCGCTGAAGTAGAAATTGAGAACGAAGAAAATGGACTGACGATAGAAGAAAAAAGAGCGATTTTTTATCAGTATTCACAAAATCTGGAATTATCTGAAAAGGTTGTTACTGAAATAATCAAAACTGAATCTTACTTCCCATTGCTTTGTAAGCTTTTTTCAAGGGAAGCAAACTACAAAGAAAAAGGAGATGATTTCTTTAAACATCCGTACAGATTTATTAAAAAGGAAATTGAAATTTGGAAGAAAACAGACAAGAAGAAATTTTGCTCTCTTATCTTGATTGTAGCTTTTAAAAACAATTTGAAAATTGAAACCATTCGAAGAAATGATATTTCTATGAGAAAATATAAAGACATTTTAGGAATGTGTGAGTTACAAGAAAACACACATATTTCAATCATTCGTAGTACTCTACATGAACTTAAAGGATCCTATGTCAAACGTGTAGGAAATGCTTTCCAATTCCTTCACGACTTTATTATGGAGATAACGACTTTGGTGTTTGGTGTTGATTGTCCACGAGAGATAATCCAATGCGCAGACAGTGGTTTTCTGAGACGTCGGATGAGAATAGAAGACGATACAGAAGAGAAAGATCGCGACCCCTTCACTGTCTACCTTCCTGAAGAGTACATAGGTGATCTTGTGGACAGGTTTATCATTGACATGCAAACGGAAGGCCTTGTAGATGTTCTACTCAATCCATGTTTAAGAAAAGAGAGTGTGATCAAATCTTTTAAGGAAAAAGTGGATTCACCCGGAAGGCTTCTTGTCAGAATTAAATGTGAAATAGACAGATCAGAATTTTCAAAATTATTTGAGGACGCTGGTTTTTCAAGACTTCATGTTCTTGATGCGGAAGATGAAATATGTCCTTTGGTAGGACTTATCTTATTTTGCCATAATGATATTTCTTCATTTTTCTTAAAAAGAATCCCTGAAACGAAGTTAAAGGATTACCCTATTTTCTCTGCTCTGTGTGCGAATGGCGATTTAAACCTACTAAATTCTCTTAGCGAGGAATATAAAAAAACAGGAATGCTAGAAAAACTTCATATATTTTTACCAATTCACATTGCTTCTGCATTTCATAACTTTTCAATAATTGAAGAATTAGTAAAGCTAGGTAGTGATGTTAACAAGTTTGATGACGATGAAGGCTTGTTAAGTCCATTGTTATTAGCAGCTGTAAATGATAACGAACAATTGAAAGAAGCTGGAATGGATACAGATGATGGAGAAATACGTAATAAAACTATTATCTGCTTATTAAACAACGGTGCAGAAATCAATCTATGTAATAATGATGGATTAAGTCCTCTTCATATAGCTTGTGAAAATGGATATGATAGCACGGTACAACTGTTATTGAACAACGGTGCCGACATCAATTTATGTGATAATGATAGAGACGGTCCTCTTTTTATAACTTGCCAAAATGGACATGATAGCACGGTACAACGGTTATTGAGCAAGGGTGCCGATATTAATTTAAGTAATAATGATGGAGACAGTCCTCTTTATATAGCTTGTCAAAATGGACATCATAGCACAGTACAACTTTTACTAAAAAACGATGCCGACATCAATTTATGTAACAAAAATGGAACCAGTCCTCTTGATATAGCTTGTAAAAATGGACATGATAGCACGGTACAACTGTTATTAAACAACGATGCCGACATCAATTCATGTGATTATGATGGAACCAGTCCTCTTTTGATAGCTTGCCAAAATGGACATGATAGCACCGTACGACTGTTACTGAACAACTGTGTCGACATCAGTTTATGCAACAAGAATGGAACTAGCCCTCTTTGGATAGCTTGTCAAAATGGACATGAAAGCACGGTACAACTGTTATTGAACAGCGGTGCCGACATCAATTTACCTGATAATGATGGAGACAGTCCTCTTTATATAGCTTGTCAGAATGGACATAATAGCACAGTACACCTTTTACTAAACAACGGTGCCGACATCAATTTATGTAACAAAAATGGAACCAGTCCTCTTCATAGAGCTTGTAAAAATGGACATGATAGCACGGTACGGCTGTTACTGAACACAGCGCCGACATCAATTTATGTACTAATGATGGAGCCAGTTCTCTCTGTATAGCTTGTAAAACTGGACATGATGGCACGGTACAACTGTTACTGAACAACGGCGCCGACATCAATTTATGTAATAATGATGGAGCAAGTTCTCTTTATATAGCTTGTCAAAATAGACATGATAGCACGGTACAACTGTTACTGAACTACGGTGCCAACATCAATTTATGTAACGAGAATGGAACCAGTCCTCTTTGGATAGCTTGTCAAAATGGACATGATAGCGTGGTACAACTATTACTGAACAATGGTTCAAACGTCAATTTAGGTGATAAGAATGGAATCTGTCCTCTAAATATAGCATGTTATAAGGGACATGATAGCACGGTACAACTGTTACTGAATAACAGTGCTGATATCAATTCATGTGATAGAAATGGAGCCAGTCCTCTTTATATAGCTTGTCAAACTGGGCATGAAAGCACGGTACAACTGTTACTGAACTACGGTGCCGACATCAATTTATGTAACAAGAACGGAACCAGTCCTCTTTGGATAGCTTGTCAAAATGGACATGATAGCACGGTACAACTGTTATTGAACAACGGTGCCGACATCAATTTAATTGATAATGATGGAGCCATTCCTCTTTGGATAGCTTGTCAAAATGGACATGATAGCACGGTACGACTGTTACTGAACAACAGCGCCGACATCAATTTATGTACTGATGATGGAGCCAGTTCTCTTTATATAGCTTGTAAAACTGGACATGATAGCACGGTACAACTGTTACTGAATAACAGTGCTGATATCAATTCATGTGATAGAACTGGAGCCAGTCCTCTTTATATAGCTTGTCAAACTGGACATGATAGCACGGTACAACTGTTACTGAACTACGGTGCCGACATCAATTTATGTAACAAGAATGGAACCAGTCCTCTTTTGATAGCTTGTCAAAATAGACATGACAGCACGGTACAACTGTTACTGAACAACGGTGCCGACATAAATTCATGTGATATTGATGGGGTCAGTCCTCTTTATAAAGCATGATAAACTGGGCATTACATCACGGTACAACTATTACTGAACAATTGCGCCGTCTTCAATTTATGCGAGAAGAGTAGGGTCAGTCCTCTTTATATAGCTCGTCAGAATGGACATAACAGCACGGTACAACTGTAACTGAACAACAATGACGACATTAATTTATGTAACAAGAAAAGGGGCATTCCCAAGGCGCATTCCCCCATTGATAGCTAAAAATGGACATGATAGTACAATGTTTGATATACAATGGCGCCTCATCAATCTTTTGAGTCAAGTGTGCCATAATTCTCCTTCAAGAACTTCATTAGTGTTTTGACTTCTACCAGATATTAGCAAATTCGAGTCATATCTTATTTAATCGCTTTATTTGTTAGAAAAAATAAAGATTTTTTTTTCTATTACCAATATGTCATACATACAATTATTTCAGATTTTGTGTGGTGAATTGTCGAATATATAGATTTGTATGAAATATCTTAGTTGGAAAATAAATAATTTACGTATATTTAAATAATATTTGGGAAAAAAATTAAATGTTATTGTGAATTACTCTCTTTTAAAATGTTTTATATGCATGTATTTGGTTTTACTTATCTTCATCGCATATTTTGCCTTCAATATAAAAATGTAATTTTGATTTAATATATATATTTATCTGTAAATCAAGAATCCATCATTTAATAATATATAATTATAATGTAGTGAGCAAAAGCTATGTTCCACGTGAATATGGTATAATGATGCATCTCTTCCTATGCTTTATATAAAAAACCAAATATCAAAGTTATTTAAGAAATAAGATATCATTTTTAGAGTTTCATTGAGATATGACATGAAGTTGGTCACGTGATCAAATCCTATAACGCCCGAAGGGCGTTATAGAAGATTGATCACGTACCAACTTCATGTCATATCCCAATGAAACTCTAAAAAATGATATTTTATATCTTATATTTTTATTTCTATTCACGTAATAAAGAAAAAATCCACTATTTAGACTTTGTTATTGAAATGCAACATAACGTAAATATAGGACGTCATATGACGTCACAGTCAAGACTTTCCAAATGTCTCGCGCGGTTTGCTTTCCTTACGCAAGAAAGTCTGATCATGTGACTAACTGCGTGTCATTTAGAATTGAATGTCAATTTAATTGGTATTGTCATATAAGGAAAGACATTGGCAAATGTAAATATTTCTGTTTGAATACATAAAATGATTAGAAAATTATCATTAAAACGTTATTAGTAAGTTCAGGAAGCCGTGAATGAAGTTTGGCTGTAACAAAATGAAGCAATTTTTTTATTCTACTTGAAAATGTATTGTGATCATCATATTTCTTTTTAACAAAGCTTTAAAGATCTCAGAATATATGTAAATTGTTGCGATGTTTAACAAACGAGAATAGTTAGTTATAGGAAATCAAAGTTCCAAAGTTATCACAATAGTAAATCAGAGTTTTCATAGTTATCAATATAGTGTCATAGTGATAAATAGAGTAAATCAAAGTTTTCAAAGTGAATACTATTATGTCAAAATTATCCCTAAAATAGAGAAAAGTTTTCACAATATCACCATAGTAAATAAAAGTTTTCATAGTTATCACCATATTCAATCAAAGTTTCCATAGTAATCACTTTAGTAGTTCAAAGTTTCCATAGTAATCACTTTAGTAGTTCAAAGTTTCCATAGTAATCATTTTAATAGTTCAAAGTTTTCATAGTAATCACTTTAGTAGTTCAAAGTTTTCATAGTTATCACTATAGTGAATCAAAGTGTCAAAGTTATCACTCTAGTTAACTATAATTTACATAGTGTCAAAGTTATTACTGTAGTTAACTATTGTTAAATATTATAGTTTACTCTAATTTTTTTTTTTTTGGTAAGAGTTGATTATTTAAAATCGGGAACCATGATGCCGAACATTGGAATGTGGAGTCCATGAAGTTTTAACAATGTTTTATGATCTGTTCATATAGATCTACCTAGCGCGTATAATTGGGTTATTCTTTAGAAAGGATTTTAGAAAGCCAATTAAAACGTCTTTTTGCCTTAGAACCGTTTTTCTTGATATATTCTAAGAAACGTTCAAGATGAAAAGAACGGTGCTTTTTAAGGACTGACCTCGGTATATCATAGCGTACTTATATTACTATTTAGAGTGAGTAATTCCATGCATTGGATATCCTCGGACTTTAACAAGTACTACCGTATTGCTACCGAGGATATATTATCAAAAGGTATCTAATCATGTTCTATGTGCTTAAATATGAGATTGTGACAAAATTTTAAACTTTCAACTTGGAACATATTAATAAAAATAAATTATTTGGAATGAACCAGAATTCCCTGTGGATCGGACAATAATCAACATGTATCGAACAAACAGCGGAAAAGTGTCCTAACTTTATCGCTATAGCCTTTAAAACACTTGAAGTAGTGGGCTGAAAATATTATCATGCTTTATTTAAAAAAAATACTGCCTAATTTAATTTCATACATCCACAAATTTGGAGAGATTTAAGTTACATTATATTGCGTTTGAATGGTCTTGCAATGCCAATTAATACGGCAAATTCTCGCTTTCATCTCGGGAGTTTTAATCTTCTAGTTTGAAGAAATCAAGAAAGGCCACATCTCAGCGTACTTATGTTACTACTTAGAGTGAGCCCATGCATTGGATACTCTCGTACTTTATCAAGCACTACCATATTGCTATCGACCATATATCATCAAAAGGTATATAATCATGTTTTATGTGCTTAAATATGAGATTGTGACACAATTTTAAACTTTTCCTTTAGAACATAGAACATTTAGAACACTGAGGATCGGACAGTAATCAATATGTATCGAACAAACAGCGGAAAAGTGTCCTACTTTGATACATCCACAAATTTGGAGAGATTTCATTTACACAATATTTTGAAGAAATCAAGAAAGGCCTATATTAATCGCCGGAAGAATTTTGTCAACTTGCCATAAGCACTTACATTTCATCATCATTTTTTTTTTTTTTTTTTTTTTTTGAAAAATACACCAATTCTGTTTTTTTTGTTCAATAATACAATATACTCTCACTTCAAATTTTCAAATGAAAAGGTGGTTGCAACTTTCACAATTTTATAAAAAATCATGTCATTTCTGGTTGATATATCTCATAAACGGCGAGGCGGATCAGAACATCTATGAAATAATCAATTCGATAAATATCTGGAGACAGTTGGTAACAAACTTAATGATTGTTTTCTTTTCTCAAATATCATAGTGTAAGAAAGGTCAACACATGACAGGCCCGTAACAATGTTTATCATTAGAGGGAGTAGCCAGTAAAAGTGACAAACAAGAATAAAAACATTTTTTGCTGAAAATAGGGAGGGGTTTGAATTTTGTTCTAAATAGTTGAAAAATAGTTAGTGCAATAAAATAGTATTTGATTTGATTTGAATATATTTTATTATGTAGAAACATAAATGGACTGGGTAGCAGGCATTGCCTATATCAGCCCTCTTCACAGGTGCAAGGCTCATTTAAATTATACATAATACTACATGAAATAGTTACAGGTTGATATAATAAAATTGATTGGAAATTAAGCAGAAAAAAAAGTGGGGGTAGAAAGTTTTAAATGATTACTGGTTTTATGAGAAAAATGAGGTAAAAAATAATTAGTGAGAAATACAGCAAATTGAGATAAATTTTATGAAATACAATGAATGTGTATTTGAATAATAAAAATACATAATTCATATCATCAATGAAACTTCTTAGTTTGTAAAATATATTCATGAACACAATCAAATAATTTAGCATTTTTAGCATTAGTCATATTACTATTACCAAATAACAATAGATTTATAGATAGAGGATGTTGCAGGTCTATACTAGATATACAATTCAAAAGAGTATTTCTTTGCTCGACGTAACAGAGAAAAAAATGATACTTTTCACATTTGGAACTCTCACTAAAATTCTTTTAATCAGCATTTAAACTACTAGCATTATTTCTTAATTGACAGTGAATAATATTTTGACTACGATTACCATGATTAAAAAGCTCATTGGGAGTTCTGTAATAAGCCTTTTTAATAGCATTTGTGAAAGAAGCTATAGTTGGTAGATTTCTAATATGATATGGTAAGTTATTTCATAATTTAATTGTAGATGTGAAATAACTATTCATATATGATGTGGTTCTAGCTTGAGGGTTAAGAAAAGTGAGATCATCATTATTTCTTAATTAATATGGGGTATGGGGTGGAATACAAGGTCTTAGGAGATCTTGGAGATATTGTGGTGTGACCCATACACTATCTTGTAAGATAATATTAATTTATGCACTTTCCTTCTGACAGATAATGTATCCCACCCCGGTTCATCATATAGAAGTGTTCTTGATGAATTCACTCTCATTCCTGTAATAATTCTTGCAGCTGTGATTTGAACTTCTTCTAATAAAGATGATTCCCTTTCTTAACAATTATCCCAAACAACATCACCATATTCTAAGACTGGTCTAATAAATGACATATATATTTTCATTAACGCATCTCGACAAAGAGAGTGTTTTAACATTCGTAAAACATTTAAACGTTTACATGCTTTTTCATATAATTATGATTTGTATGTGACATTTCCTATTGGCGTCACACTGAAAGTTTAATCCTAAATGTGAGTGATTGTTTGAAGGTTCAATCACTAAGCCAATTACACCAAATTTAACATTGGGATGGGTAATATTTGTTCTGGAAAAAATATGTTCACTGTTTTCTTTGGGTTAAAGTCAACTATCCATTGTTTTGACCACTGATCCAACTTCTCTAAGTCATTTGTCAATGAGTTTGCAGCACTTACTACATCATTATTAGCAATAATGTAAAGTGATGTATCATCAGCAAATAATCGAACATTGATTGTTAAGTTTGAAGAAATATCATTAATATATAATAGAAACAAGAAAAATCCGAGAACAGATCTTTGAGGGACACCTGAGCTAGTTGATCCAATAGCTGATGCATAACCATCAAGGACCACCCTTTGTTTTCTATTCGCTTAGTAATTTTTACCCAGTTTACAATTTGATCCGATATTCCAATTTCCCTTAATTTAAATAAGATTCCTTCAACCCTATCAAAGGCTTTAGATATGTCACAAAACAGAAATCTTACATCCCGCCCTTTTTCAAGATTAGATATAATAGTATTATAGATTTCCACCAACTGATTAGTGGTCGAGTCACCTGTTTGAAAGCAGACTGGAACTTATATAGTAAATTATTTTCAAATATATAGTTGTGTAGATGCTTGACAATAATTTTTTCTAATAAATTACAAACAACAGATGTTACTGATATTGGTCTGTAGTTATTGACATCATCTGCATTTCCTTTATTTT